CAGTGGGCTTTCACACTCATTTTTTATCAAAAGAAGAACTTTAGTCAGATTTGTACTTTTGGTGCAGAACTCAACAGGGTAATCTGACAGAGAGGGGTGCAGTGAATAAAGACAGCATCCATTATGAAATTAACATCAAAGAGGTCCCTTAAGATGGAATGGAGCCTTAGCCCCTGGGCCATTTCTGCCAAGGAAAGGAAGCAGTGTTTCTGGAATTGGTATTTCTGAACACACAGAACCATACCATCTGATAGATTGCTCTCAATTTTGAAATGGTATTTGTATCACTTTGGCTAACAACCTTTTATTTGATTTGTGTCCTCTAACAAAGAAGCATGATGCTTGAAGAACTGTTAAAAGGGCAGCGTCTCCGTGCCCATGCTCCATCAGTCCCGTAACTGCTTCCAAATTTTGAATGGCATGCCTCCTTATCTCCATAGGCTTATCCTCTTCTTTCACATATTGCTTTTTTGTTCCCTGGTTGTAGTAGAAAAAAATTCTTGCTAGAAATATGCTGCATAAATATGGCTCAAGTGAGTACATTTTATAGAATAATGTTGAACTAAAGTGGATTTCATTAATAAGTAACAGCACATTAGATGCTTTGTAGACCAAAAGTACTCTGCGCCAGATTTTAATATAAATAACACCAAAATATTAAAGCATGGATTTTATAGTGTATTAGTAAACTTCTCTTGTGTCAAAAAAAAAAAGTTCTCTCTCAAAAGCTGGTGTGTCATTTTCTGCTTAAAGTTGGTTAGTCACCCTGTAATTTTCAGGATAGAATTTAAATTCTTCAACCTGAGGTATTAGGATTCTCCAGAGAAACAAAACTAATAGTGGATATAGGTTTAGATACAAATATAGATGTAGGTATAAATTTATTATAAGGAATTGGCTCATGCAATTATGGAGGCTGCCAGATCCTAAGACTTGCAGTCAGCAAGCTAGAGACACAAGAGAGCTGATGGCATAGTTCTAGTGGGAGTCTGAGACCTGAGACCCAAGAGAGCCAATGATGGTGTTTCAATCCAGATGCTTGCAGGCTTGAGACCCAGGCAGAGCCAGTGTTTTACGCTGAGTCCAAAGTCAGGAAAAACCCTATGTCCCCACACAAATGCAGTCTGGCAGTAGTTTCCTCTTCCTTGTGGGAGTGTAAGCCTTACACTTACTGGATGAGGCCCAACCACGTTACCGGGGCTATCTGTTTTACTCAGTCTACCAACCAATTCAAATGTTCATCTCATTCAGAAATTTCATTCGGACACACCTAGGGTCAAGTCTGACATGTGTCTGGGCACTCCATGGTCCAGTTACATTGACACATACAACTGACCACCATACCCAGTGAGAAAGATCCTTCATGATCCGGCCAGAACAGGTCACTAGACCCATGGTTCCCCTGTAAACTCCTGCCTCCAGCGATGGAGAGCTAGTTTTGTTTCCTTAAAAGCATTTTGACTGTTCATAACCATGTGTTCTCATAGATGTTTTTCCTTTTGTTTGAGTGTGATTACCCTTTTCTTAGTTCGAATCCCCCCAGAAGCAGACCCTGAAGCAAGAATTCAAGTGAAAGTCATTTATTTGGAAGATAATCCCTGGAATCACTAGCAGGGGAGTGGAAAAGAAGAATTGGAAAGGGAAGGAAGGCAGCAGAGTTAAATTACAAACTAAATTAACCACCCGTCTACTGGGGTTTATTCCCAGGGTTGGCGTTGGGATTGGGGAGGACTCTGGGAGAGGTTTCTGAATTAGCACACCTGAGGAGCAAGGGCACTATAGTACTTCTGTGCAAGTCCTGGCAGTTATTTGTGAAAGACTGCTCTCTTGGGGTGTCAATTCCCTGATATTTCTCCTGTGGCCTCTAGCAACCCAGAGAAAGCCCTCAGGTGGAGATCTGGTGGCTGGAAGTCGGTCTGGCCAGCAGGGAAGTGTCTAGGAACAAGGGCTTGTAGGCAGGGCACCCATATTTACTGGGAATCTACTGCAGCCTTTCCTTACCCCCAGATAATTCTGAATCTCCCTTTAGGATTCAACTTAAGCCTCACCTATTCTGGAAATCCTTCATAGACCTCTCTGACTTAGCTGCTTCTTGTCTGTTTCCCAGTAAAACCTCTGCTTACCTGCATCAGAGAATCTGTTACTTCCTCTTCTGATTGTTGTTTTACTTTTCTCTGCCATACACTTCTTTGGGAGTTTTTGAGGGAATGGATTGTCAACTGTATCTTCACGGTCTTCCATGGTTCCAACATATGGTGTTGGTCAATAAATGGTTCTTTAAGTTGTGAAAGTAGTAATAATAATGGCACCATAACACGAATAGCCAGTATTTATTGAACGCTCATTCTATGTAAGCACTTTACATGTATTACTAACCCTAGCAAGTCATACTAGGGTATGACTTAGGATACTTTTATTATCCCTATTTCCCAGGCATAGGTTTACATAATTTGCCCAAGATTACACAGCGATTTATAGTTTGGCCTGCAAGTAAACCCAAGCAGTCTGAATCCAGATCCTGAATATACTCTTAACCACTATATGAATAAATGAGTGAAATGAATGAACAAATGAATAATGACATCAAGTATGATCCTTCAACACCTGGAGACATTCTAGGGATGATGCTATCAGTATAGTCTATAAAATTCAAAGATCAGCTCTAATGTCACATTTTCCAAAAACCTTTCCTCATAACCTGACTGGAAGCAGCTATCCCTCCCCTGATACCTTTTGTGATGGCCCTGACTACTCTCTATTATATATTCAAATTGATCTGCATGTCCTGCTTTCCTTACTAATAATGTTTGTAGACAATTGTATCTAGATTTGTCTTGGTATTTTATTTCTCCAAACACAAAGCTACACCTACAATAGGCTATGGAGGAGTGTTAGCCAGACACACAAATGGATACATAGATGACAAGCAAAGAGATCTTTGACTCTTCCTTTATCTTTTCCTGGAAACTGTGGAGACTTTTTTTCATCCCACTCTGATTTCCAGAAAGTCTGCCGGTCTAGATATTTTAGATGCTCTGAAAAATAAAATTTTATTTAAATCTATTAAGTTCAGGGAAGAATCTGTGAAGAGTTTACTTTGTAACATTGTGATAATAATTTAGTTAGAGAATTATATTTCTAAGAGAAAGATATTCTTTCTCCCAAAATTATATTCAGAGAAAAAAATGAAAGAAATAAAGTATACAGCTATTCACTAATGTTTCTAACAATTTGAATGGAAAGAAATTTACTTCTTTATAATTTTTTTAACGTTTATTTATTTTTGAGACAGGGAGAGACAGAGCATGAACGGGGGAGGGGCAGAGAGACAGGGAGACACAGAATCGGAAGCAAACTCCAGGCTCCAAGCCATCAGCCCAGAGCCCGACACAGGGCTCGAACTCATGGAGTGCGAGATCATGACCTGAGCTGAAGTCGGACACTTAACCGACTGAGCCACCCAGGCACCCTGAAATTTACTTCTTTAAAAGTTAACCATGGCCATCAAGAATTATTTTCCTAAAACCTCAACTCAAATTCATTTTCCATTCCCAGTGACTGGTATATCTATAATCTTCATTTATAATTAGCACTTTGAAGAATGTCACATTGTATAAATTTGGCTAAGAAATGACTAAATTTAAAGCGTATGTCTGGGTGGAAATTACAAATCTTTACTGAGTCCCCATTGCTTGCAAATCATCATTTGGAAGCATGTCCTACAATGTAAGAGGTAGATAAGAAATATAAACACAGGAATTCTCCAGTTTGACTAAAAAAATCAGAGAAAAAAAAATTTAAAAAACTCAGAAATATTATTCAGCAGAAATTTCTTTATGGATTTTAATGTATAAAATTAACATTAGGTCCTAGAGAATACAAAGGAACATAAGACATAGTCTTTAACTTTGCAGAATTTATGATGTCGACATGGGCATCTGAAGGATACATATGTTAACAAGTAGACATATGATGTGGTGGTAATAATAAGTAATATTTAGCATTTAATATTTCAGTAACTGTCCTGGTGCTTTAGGTGGTATTATCTCATTTAATCCTTACCCTTTTCATTAGGCAGACAGGAATCCCTGCAACGTCGTAAACCAGATCAGAGCTCTCTTTTAAGATGGATTTTGCACCTGGGTGTAAAAGAAATTGGAGTCAGGAGTGAGAAAAAGAGAAGAGCAGTTAGGAAACCACAAAATAGGGAAGGCAAATGGCAGAGTTTTTGAATCGAGTTGCAGTGATGTGAATAGAGAGGAGAAAATGTGGAAATAAGACAGGCAGGATTCATACTACCTGGATGTAAGGAACATTGAAGGAGAAGAGATGACAACATATCAAAAGTTCAAAAAGCAAACATGTCACCCAGAGGGTAGAGGAAGCACGCGTCCTTGCCCAATTAATGGGGGTTTCACTGGGATGAGTGGAATTGAATGGGAATGATGCAACTGGGGCGGGCTGGGGGGTGGGCACTTGAACATACATGGTTAAAGGTTTGGATTTGCACATGTAGCAAACTAGCACTTTCCACGGTGCTGTGCAGGGAATGGGTGTTGTCAGCCTAAACCCAAGTGGTGAGCTCCCCATTTCTCAGATACTCATAAGCGCGCATCCCTTTCATTGACGGAGAAAGTGCGGCATTTGAAGTGTGCGATTTTTATTTTTCATCTTTTTAGAAATTGAAATGACCAAAGTGACCATGCATTACTTGTATAAGTAAAACAAATGATTGTGTATGTACTTTGTTACGCATACATAACAATTTTTAAAAGGAAATGTGAACCCTAGGTGTTAAATTGTGCTGTGATGTATATTTACGTTACCTTGTATTAACTTAGCATAATAATATAAGACAATCGAAATGCATGTTCTAACACTCTTTTCTACTGAGTTCTTTTTGGCCTTTGAAGTTGTATTAGTCAAACTGGAGAATTCTGAGCTTACTAGCTTTCATATGAGTTTTTCTTTTGTCTTTCCCCCCCCCCCTTTTTAACTAGATGATAATAATGAAGAAGATGTTAACGTGAAAGAAGATTCAGGTATTAAATTTATGATTTTATTCTTAGAGGATAGGCAAGGATCATTTTGTTGTTTATGTGCACCTCACAGTTTTTCAAAGAAAAGCAAAATAAAGTTAATAAAATAGGTGAAGTGGGATATGAGTACACTTATCTAGATGATCACTGAGTAATATATGGAATTGTTGAATCACAATGTTGTATACTAAGAATGAAAATAACACTGCATGTTAACTATCCTGGAATTAAAAGAAAAGAAAAAGATACAAATGTACAGTCGAGGTCATAAAATAAAGAAGTAATTGTGCTAACTAACCCTTATGGCTAATACAATTAGCATATTTAAGCAGTAAGCTTCCAGCTTTCTGAAAGCTGAAGTAAAAATGGAACCTGATGTTATAATAAATACAGTTGTGTAGCAAATCATCCCAAAGCTTAGTGATTAAAGAACCTGCTTATTATGCTCATATATTCTGTGGGTCAGGAATTCAGACAGAGCACAGCAGGGCTGACTTGATCATGCTGCTCTACAAGGTCTGAAACCTCATCAGGAAGCCTCAATGGCTGAGTGCTGGAATTGTGCGAAGATTTGTTCACTCGTATGTCTGGCTGGCAATTGATATGCTGGCTTTTAGCTAAGACCTCAGCTCAGGCAGTCTTCTGAAACACCTGTGGTGGCCTTTCTATAACCTGGGCTTCCTCACAGCATGGCAGCCAGGCTCCAAAGTGGTTCCTCTAGAGACAGCAAGTGAGCCAGCAGGAGCTGTACCTTTTTAAGACTCAGCCTCAGGAATCCCAAAGAATTACTTCCACAAAAATCTTTTCAGAGCAGTCATTAAGAAACCTGCCTGGGCTCATGGGGAGAGAAAATAGGCTCAATATCCTGACAGGGAGCTGTGAGGTTTTGTAGAGCATGTAGGACCTGAAAAATTGCTGTGGCCATCTTTGGAAAATACATTGGGTACATATGATATATTGTTCTCACTATCAGAAATTAAGATGCATGCCTGCTTCTCAAGAAAGACCAGTGTTTGATGAGAGAAATCTAGTGATTACAAGCTTTGGATCTGGCCTAAGGTGACCACTCAATACATGCTCGACTATGAATGCAGGAATCAATAGCCCTGATTTCAATCCTTGCTCCTCTACTTACTGACTTACTACTTCCTGACTTTGGGTGAAAGTTTTCTCTATAAGCATCAGTTTACACCTCTAGGGGCAAAACTATTATAATACAGTCTTGTTTGGGAATTAAATGAAATATCATACCTGAAATATTTCTTGGACCTTAGTAAACACTCAATAAATTATCGCTTTTTTTTTTTTTTGCTTTCTCACTCTAACAGATATTGGAGGGTATAGAACTTTATTCCATGGTATAAGAACTCCATGTTCCCAATTTTGGCAGCCACACTGTTCTAGGCCTGAAATAGAACTGGGTTTCAAAATTAAAACAGATATCTTAGAGGTCCTGATTTTGTGTAACCCCTCTTCGATGCCAGAACTCCATACATAAATCACCGACAACACAGTCTGAACATCTCCATTAACGGGGAGCAGTTTAAATTCCAAGGCAAACAATCTCATTTGACTAAAATGGTCCTTCTCCTTAAGTTAAATCTCTATCCCTCCCCTGACTTCCCACTGTCTTCGTGGAAAGATAATCGTTCTTTTCTTCATAGCTGCTCACTGGAGCAATGTTCATAACTTCTGTCTAGCTTCTAGCTTCTTCTCCAGTCCAAACATGTCTGATTCCTATGGTTCCCTCAGCCTCCCCAGGGCAGTGGGTTTGAAGGGTGGAGAAGTAGAGGAAGCATCTAAAAGCCAGGAATGAAGGAGGTAGAGCAGGATCTGTAATAGCAGCTGCCAGTTCCCTACCTATATCCCCTTGGCCCTCACTATTCTTTTACAAGACCAACAGCTTTCTAAGGAAAGCTCTTGTGACTCTGCAATCAGTGTTTCTCGCTGGTCATGAAAGCACATTTGAAGTGCCAGGAAGTTAATTTCCCTGGAGTAGCCCTCAGCCAGTGATAGGCAAGAGCTGGTTGACCCTTGAAGGACACATCGGAGGCATATTGTGTTCCAGTGTCATCCAGTAGAAATATAATGTGAGCCTCAAATGTGAGCCTCATGTTTAATTTCAGATTTTCTAGTAATTACATTGGAAAAAGTAAGGAGAAATGAGTGAAATTAATTTAATAATATTTTAGTAACATAATATATCCAAAATATAATGATTTCAACATATAATCAATCTAAAAATTTTATTAGTCTGATATTTTACATTCTCTTTTTTTTCCATACTATGTTTTTGAAATTTGTGTGTATTTTACATGCATATCTTAATTCAGACTAGACACATTTCAAGTCTTCATTGGCAATGTGATGTGTGGTATTGAACAACGAGATTTTTTTTACCATCACCCAGAGGTCCGCAGTAGAATTGAGCCCTGACTCTCCACAGTGGAGCTTGCTCACGCAGTATTGGGTGCCTCTCCTTTCTTGTCTCAACTCCCTACTGCCCTCTGGCACTTTCTGGGATAATCTCTTACATTAAGTATTTGAACTCAATAGTTGTCTCAGTGTCTTCTGAGAAAATCCAACCTAAGACAAAGACTCTGCTTGTCTTTTGTAAAACATTAAGCCCAAGGTGAAATTTCAATTAGAATATCCATCCCTATACTCATGTGGGATGTCTTATTATTTAAAAGAACCATATGTTGAAAAAAGACTTTAAGGGGTCACCCGCATCTTGATTTAATTCCACGAACTTAATGTTAATTTCTGCTATTTTCATTTATCCTGCTCATTGGAAGTATCCTTGGAATATCCTTCAGCTATGGGGAGTACTGCCCTTTCAGCCAGCCAGTTTAAGGGCCTTATCTTGCTAAGGATCATTTGCCTAAGTGCCCTAAGTATACATTTCTAGGCAAGGGGAGTTGACTTCTTAATGAGATGCAGCTAGCTATCCAAACCACTGAGTGATTTTAAGAAAATCATTATTAATGCTAATGCAGAGCCTACAAGATTGGAGTCAGCATATGAGGTTTGGGGGGCTTTAATTGGATCATCATTTCTGATTTTAGTCTCATCAGGTTTCCTGAGGGTTTCGTGTCCAGCAGCTGGATGCAGCTGTTAAAGTCATACTCAATGGCCCAAGGATGCTAAGTCACCTGGCCAGAATGGGCTTGGGAAGCTGCTCTCCATTTCCTAGTATCTGAGTGCTGAAATCACCGGAGATTTCTGTGCAGAATGGTTCCATGATGTGCCACTGGTCCTACCAGACATTGGTGAGCAGGCTGACTTCAGTCCAGATCTCACACTTGGAAGTGTTGGTCTCCAAGAGAGGTCTCTATCCAGACCATTAACTGCTGCCTTTCTCTGCCCTGCATCACATCTTCTCATATAAGTAGAAATGCTGGAAGGATTTTTAAGAATGCAGCTGACACTAGTAAAGGGCTACTTGGGACAAATAACTTGCCAACAAAGGCTAGTGAATGTTAGTGAATAATAATCTGACTACCAAAAGTCAGGTGAACTGACTCTCCAGGTGGCGGGAACCTCCTTTTGGAGAGTTTGCATACTTCCTTAGTGTAAATACACACACCACAGTGTTTTCAAGCTACCAAACATGAGATCAATGAATGTGGGAGCCGAGAGATAGGTATAGTCAGCTCACTCACATAAGCCCCAGCACACCTCTCCTGAGCCAGATTTTAACTGAGTATGTACCTTGTGCCAGTCACTCAACATACATGAATTCATTTAAGATATGCAACAACTGTAGGAGGCAGGGATTGTTATTACACAAGGCTTAAAAGGAATTAGTTCCTGGTTTAAATAGCTGATCCATTGGTGTGTCTGACCTCCTAGCTTAAATAGCTGACCCACTGGTGTGTCTGAACCCAAAGTTCATACCCTTGTATTCCTGTCTCCAGACCCTACAGGTAAGTAGAGGCAGGAGCATCTCAGATGGTGTGAGGCAAGGTCATCCTCAAGGTGAGGCTCTGCCCTCGTGGACAATGATAGAAACAGACCAGCTTAAATGCTTAGGATGCCTTTTAAGTCCTTTATCAGTTTCTTTTATCCTACAATAGAAAACATTTCCCCATCTCCTTCCATTCCCAAGAATGGCTGTTGAAATGGGACTCTACCAGGAATAAGAAATCAACAGCCACCTATGGAAGTCCAGCTACATGAGAGTCAGGAGCACAGTTGAGTTCTGTAGGGGGCAAAGCTACGCTCATGGCAAAACTCCAGGTCTCCACCCTCTGCCAGAAACAGAGGCAATATAGATAATATGATATGCTGTCAAGGAGAATTATGGGTTGCTTTGGAGAAATCTTCCTTCTGCTTCCCCAGGCCAAAGGGAGAGTTGTTCCCGCTGAACCACAAGTAGAAATCTGAGCACAGAGGCCATATGTATCAGTGACATTTAGTGAGTGCCTCCATGGGTGTTAGGAAATGATACTATACTTGTGTCATAAATGACTATTCATAGTTAACATGTATCCACGTCCAGTGACTACCCAAGGAGGGCCCTGTAGCTTTTTAAAAAATAAAGTACTTTTGGGAAACGCATCTCAAAATTTAGACAAACAGAAACAAATAGATGTCTTTAAGAGATGTCTCACCCATTCTCCAAGAATTCCCATTCAGGTTGGGAAATCAGGTTAATGACCAAAAACTCACTTTTAAGAAATGCTGGTTTGGGGTTGAATCCCCAGCATTAGAAATTCTCCTCTTAGTCCTAGAGGCAGTTGATGCATTTCAGAGGCATCTTCCAGGGAGTCTTAGCATCTTCTCCCAGGGAGATGGCAAGTGTCGTTTTGCCTACTTCATGCATCCTTTTGAGCACAGCATCTGTGCTCAGTGAGCTGTTCCAAGCATCTCATTTCTGTTTTTACTGAACCCCTTCTGAAGGGTCAACATCCATCTCACACCTGGTGACAGAAGTTTGGGGGAGTTGCTAATGTAGTCATTGGCACAATTTTTCACCCTAGCCATGGTAATGATCTTCG